CCGCCCCCCCCCGCTCTCTCTCTTTCCCTAGGTGGACCACGACCTGTCTCGCACGGTGCTGGTGACGACCAAGCTTGACACCAAGCTGCCCCAGTTCGGCGGCGGGGATGACTTGCAGGACTTCCTCAGGTACAGTAAAGGAAGTTATACGCCAGTCAAGTCTAACTACGTAGCTCTGTGGCGGCCTCTCCCCGCAAGACTGGCCATGCCTCTCACCCTATTCAACAGGGTTCGGATTATTTTCGTTTTTCAGTTTTTTAGTGTTTTTTATGTTTGCTAGAAGTATATATGGCAGCTGAGAACACGAGGGTTCGTTCATGTTCGTCGGCGCATACCTAATAACTAAGGCTCCACCCTATTCTATAGTCACCCTGTACTCGACAATACCAAGTACGTGGGAGCCCATGAGATAACCCAGGAATTAAGTAAGCACCCCAGGGTTGCGGAAAATAGGGACGTTTTTTATAGTGCTGGCGCTGTACTGTACCTCCTCTATCATGCATCTCTCCGGGCATGGTACGGTAGATCGTCTGTACGGATGTCGACGCCCGCACGGGTCCCAAAGTGCCCGGTACCTCCCCCCCTGCGCTTCGCCGGCATCCATATGGCAGAGCCCCCTCTATCCAGCGCATGTACCGGTGCATGCTGGGAGGCCCGTTCTTCACCACCGTACCGTCTGGGCGAGTGGGGCGTGCCCGCGACTCCGCTTACTTCTCGAACGAAGCGTTTGTCCACGGGGTGCGCCGATCTGAGCGCGATGACCAGGTGATTCGAGACAGGGGTATACGTGTGCATGCTACCGCCCAAGCATGAGGTTTGTGGCAGTTGTGTATCGTTGCTGCTGCTGCTGCTGCTGCTGCTGCTGCTGCTGCTTTTGGTGTTCTGCGGGTTTCTGGCGATGGAATACTGCTAGTGCTTGGGATCGTATCGCGTTGCGCCAGTAGAAGAGGTGGTGAGAGTAGGATGGCCGTAGGCGCAGTGGTGTCAAGAAATTGTTTGCTGGCTGTGGTAAATGACATTTTGCGGTAGATCCATTACCACCTCCTTCGGCATGACGGTACTCCTCTTCCTCTTCCTATGAATCCTAATCCTAATCCTAACCCTCCCATTTTTTTTTCCTGGTGGAGACAGATGCTCGTTGCGGCAAAGCTAGGACCCCAAGCCGCGCCCACCTGTCTCCCCCGCGTGGGCGTGTCCCGCCTGCGTCGGTTCTTGGAACGGCGCGTGGAGGAGTGCTACCGGAGGAACGTCGCGCGGATCGTCCCCTTGCTGCAGCAGGAGATGTCGAGGGCGGAGGGAAGGCTGCTCACCACGGAGCAGGAGGTATGTTGGCGTCGCGATTGTGTTGTCATTGTTTCACACGGTCCATATTTTCCGTCTTGTCTAGGGTTGTTCATGAAGTTCTATTTGTTGTTATTGTTTTTCGCCATAGGGATGCGTGCTGGTGTTTTTTTAAGTAGCACGGTTTATATTTTCTTTCTTGTCTAGTGTGGAGGCCAGGATATTCGTATCTTCTTATACTTACACACGCACATACAAAGGGAGTGAAAAACATCCGACAGACGATAATTCATCGCTCTGCTCTGGATCTTTACTTTGTGGGTTATTCACCCCGACCTGAGTCGGGATGGATCTTTATGGTTGGTACCGAGAACCCAGGAAGGGTCTCAGCCGGCGCCCACTCGCAACCTTACCCTGGCCTTGGCTGAGTATGCTCAACCACCGCTTGACATTCCTCGTCACATTGCACCAAAGGAAATCAGCCAGCCTTCGGTGGTAGGCATATACCACCTCGCCATTTTGGGACCTCCGCTCACACTGAGTTGAGGGTATTCATATTGGCTTCGACGAAGAGCGGTTTCTGCGTGTCTGTTCCTGTTGTTCCATTTTTCAACATGGGCAACAAGAACAAGAGAGACAACAAAGCCGGCTCGAACTCGCAGGCAGGCACGGACGCCGGTAACGGCGCTCTTAAGACCCCCTCGCACAACCCCAAACCCAGTCCTCCGCTGCAGTCTACACAGCAGTCTGTCAAGAAACCGTCCACCAACGGTAAACAGCCCCAGCGGCTTGCCACCGGTGACGCTTCTCCCAGCTCTAAAGACTACGCAGGCGCCGCCCGCAACGGAACTGGGAAGGGTGGCAGCTCCAGCAATGGAGATGGCAGCTCCAACAGTGGTGGGGGTGACCCCAGCAACCGCTTCGCAGCACTGGGAGAAGAGAACTCACCCAGCAAGGCCACCGATGGCGGTCGCGAGGAAGGAGAGATCCCTCCGGACGACCCCACACGCGCACTGGCTGCAGACGTTCTCGCGAATCTCCAACAAGCAGCCACCACTGCTGCTCCCTCCATTCCTGCCCCTGCTGGGAACTTCTTGGCGCCCTTCATCATCTCAAGCTTAGAGCAGGCGCGTGACAACAAGGAGGAACCGGAACCTTGGATCATGCGCCTAGTCCTAGGAGCTCCCGTGCAAGACGCGACACTCACTCAGGTGAAGCCACGCCGATTGGAATCTGATTTTTCTGCTTCTCGTTCCGATGACACTCCTATCGTTCAGCAAGTTGTACAACCCCAGCCGCAGCAGCAGGTAGCATCTCCGCTCCAGCAAAGCTTAGCCGGGTCACAACCGCAGCCGAATGTAGCACCTCTACCCCAGCACAGTGGAGACGTGTCACAACAGCAGCAGCAGAACAATCTAGCCATTCCCACACACGAGCAACGCACTCGCGCAACTCAAGACACTTTCAGAGCTCTCAAGGCTTCCGAGTTTCCGCCAACTCTGAAACTTGAGGGTCTCCCATCGGAAGATGTACCCGAGATCATGGCACAGTACCGCACGCACATTCGCCTCTCGCTGCCCGAAAACACCTCGGACGACATCATCGACCGTAGAGCTATTAAGAACTTACGCCTCATCACGAAAGGCGCCGCTGCGCAATCGCTTGACCTCATTCTGAGTTCTCACTTGGAATGGCGGTCGGAACAGCAGGTAGCCGCAATTCGTGCACGGGGTGAACAAGTTACCATCTCTCCTCCTCAAACCTGGAAACAATGGGTTAACGCTATGACTACTCTCTTCGCACCCGCTAACAGAATCGCACTTCTCGCACGCGAAGCCATGACTCTCCAAGCGAAACCTAACGAGTCTGTCGACCTGTTTTCTATTCGAGTCTCACGCGCATACTCTAGACTTCTCGCCGAAGCCGAACGGACTGCACCACCGAATATGTCTGCACACGAACACGCATTTGAGAAAGCACTCATTGCATCGTTTGAGAACGGTTTGCCGCCGGATATCAGGGTAGAGATGATTCGAGAAGACGCACCGCAAACGTTTATGACTTCCAAAACGCGCGCCCGCAAACACGAAGCGAACAAACTGCGCTCTGCAACGTCTCAATCAGCCGCCTCGGTATCTTCCCTCCTCGATTCCACACTACAACCGCAGCTAAAACTTCACACGGGTGAACTCGAGAATCGGGTCAACCAGCTCGAGAAACTTATCAACACGCAAGGAGACACCCACGTCTCCAGTGCAGCCCGCGGCCGTAGTAACAGTCGGGGACCAACCACCCAGAAGCGGGGTCCTTCCCAGCCCCAAATCCACCGGAACCAGAAGGCAAAGGTGGCGTTCACCCAGGACACTAAGTCCTCGGGCGGAACAGTGGATGGTGGTAGCGGTAGCAAGGGGGGTGTTGAATGCACTTACCCGGGCTGCGCAGGGAAGTCGAAACGGTTCACGCATTCACGGCAGGAGTGTAGGACCGAGAAACGTGATCTCCAGAACGGAATCAAGTACGTCTCGGTAACCTCGCAGCAGGGATAGGATGGCCCAGATAGGCACCATTCCTCGGCCTGTTTGGGAGACAAGTCTAGAAACTCGAGAGCAGTAACGAAGAGAGTAGAAGTAGACGAGAGGAATCCTGGGCACCATCCAAAACGTGTCCAGCCTCTGGTGGTAGAACAAGCAGATGAGGTAGCTCGTAACACAGTGCCCGGAATACCATCTGAGTTCACTTGCACTCGGTTTAGCAGCCAACGTTCGCAAAACACTCAGACCCGGCATACTGTTTCAGCTGACACCTCTGCCCCCACACCACGTAGCACCGAAGCAACACACGTAGCCAAGCGCAGTAAATGTTCGCGGGCCTTAGTGCCACAAGCTTTGTACGTAGCTACAGTAGCCGGCGTTGTCAAGTCGAAGCATAGATCGCGTCTCATGCCTTCCGACTTCCATAACAATGAATTTTCTGCTTTCTATACATCGGCACTTGCGGGATACCCTGAGTTCCCCTCTGTGCTTAACGCGTCTTCGAAACGCGTGCGTGTATCCGCCAGAATAAACAATCACCCCGTCGATCACATCACGATTGACACAGCGTGCGACATTCCGTGTATTTCAGCAGCATTTATGCGACGCCACGACACGCTCAAAAACGCGGACATTTATCCCGTTCCCCATGGAGTTATCAACCTGCGTAGCGCGGACAACTCCCCCCTCAAAATCAAGGGATACACTCGATTCGAACTCACCCTCGGAGACATCACCCTGCCGGTAGAAGCCCTAGTACTACCATCGTTGGGCCCCGATAACATGTTGTTAGACAACAGCATCATGGGAGCATTCGGCGGCGTGCTTGATTGGCAAGCGGAAGAATTAGCTTTCAAGAATTCAACCCTTACAATCAAAGCAACACACCGCAGGTTTCGAAACCCAACGACCAACACATCGAGCGAAGACAACTGCTCAATAGTAGTGCAGGATGGCGACGCAGAACCAGTCCCGGTTTACCTCAACAAGAAATGTTGTGTGCCGGCACGTAGTGAAATCGCTGTGGAAATTCACTCAAACGTAGCACCGTGTGCAGAAACCGTAACTGCCCTGGTAGAACCGCGCATCATCACCTCTGAAGACATAGCCTCACCAGACACGCCACCGGCTTTCCATCGAATAGTCGTTGCTCGTACGGTGTGTCACTGGTCCAACACGAAGGGAGCAGTGGTTCAGATCGCCAATCCATCCGACCGACTAGCACGTCTGCCAGCAAAGACATTAGTGGGATACATTTCCCCTGTCAAATCGGTACTCCCGCAGACAGTAAGTAGTGTACAATCGAGCCCTGATGAAGCCGCGAAACACCGCAAAGACTTGGAAAAAGCTCTCACGAAAGCATTCGCGCAAACCACCTTCTCAGAGGAACAACGTGAGCAAGTGTTACAACTGTGTACGCGCTACCGTTCCGTCTTCTCACTAAATTCCGACGAGCTAGGTAGGTGCACTCTCACAGAAGCCGACTTTCCCCTGGAACCAGGTACACGTCCTGTTAACAGAGCTCCTTACCGCGCGAATCCGCGTGTACAAGAGGTAATTGACAAGTGTGTACATGACATGGAGGAAGCAGGGATCGTTGAACAAAGAGCGAGCCCCTGGGGTTCCGCGGTAACGCTGGTAGCCAAAGCCGATGGTACACCCCGGTTCTGTGTAGACTACCGGACGACGGTCAACAAACACCTAATCCGTAAATCGTGGCCCATGCCCGAAATGGCTAGCCACATTGACACCGTTGCAGGTGCTAAGTATATCACCGTCTGTGACGTTCAGAGCGCATACCACCAGCTACCCATCACCGATAAAGCAGAGCAAGACAAAACTGCCTTTGTAACACGGAATGGAAAATGGGTCTTTAAACGCCTCCCCTTCGGAATTGCCAATGCACCATTTTTATTCCAACGCACTATGGCTTTAGCTTTTGCTCACTTTGGACCGAAATCGGGTCTCCTCGTGTACATGGATGACTTAATCTGTTGTTCATCAACGTGGGAAGGCCACTTATCCTTGTTGGAAAACACTTTCAAGGCTTTGCAAACAGCAGGGCTCACCTTGAAACCTTCCAAAGTACAATTCGGACCCAGAGAGGTGAAATATTTGGGACACATCCTATCTGCCGATGGGATACGCCTTGGTGAAGATCGGATCAAATCAATTCTAGATTTGCCTACACCCACGAACATCAAAGAACTACGTTCAGTGCTAGGTATGGTGAACTATGTCAGGAAATTCATACCTAACCTAGCCGCCATCACCGCGCCCTTGGTTGAACTCACGAAAAAGGAAGCAGTCAAATCGGTAGCGAAACGCTGGGGTCCAGAACATGACAAGGCATTTGCTGAAATAAAGAGTTTACTCACGAAAGCACCTGTCTTGCATTTCCCGGATTTCTCTAAAGAGTTTGTGATTCATGTCGATGCATCTGAAACTGGAGCAGGAGCCTTCCTAGCCCAGAAGAATGGTGACGATCTGAACATCATTGCTTATTTTAGCCAGCGATTCAACAAGAGCCAACGACACTATTCCGCAACCATGAAGGAGTGTTACGCTGTAGTTTTGGCAATCCAACATTGGAGGCCATACCTATGGGGTCGACACTTTACGTGCGTCACTGACCACGCAGCGCTAAGGTATCTCTACACGATGCAAGATACGTCAAACATGCTTACACGCTGGGCAATTGCACTTCAATCGTTCGACTTCAGCGTTCAGCATAAACCAGGGAAGCTACATGTAGTGCCCGACACGTTATCGCGTCTTTTCCTTTTCGAGAATGAACAAGCACACGACGTACCGCCTCTCGCTCCGATTTGCCGCAACGTACCACATGATCCGAAGCTACACACGGCCATGCCTAACAGATCTTACCAAGTGTCCGCAGATAAATTAAACGACGTCCAACCTGTCCGCAGCGATAGGGAGTTGTTCACTGTCAGCGCCACACAAGTATTTCCATCTGTTGACCATGCCAAGCTACGCGAAAAACAACGCAAAGAATACAAGGAGTATATAGACTACATCCTTGACGAAAACGCATCTCCTCCAGACAGAGAAACTGCAACGACGATGTCATACTACTCAATACAGGATGGATTACTGTTTAAGTCGTACTTGCCTGGACACCTCCGCAAACGTAGCACGTTCAGTGATCAGCTGGTATTGCCGCAAGATCTCACGGGTCTTGTAATGCACGCTTATCACGATCATGCACTTTCGGGTGGGCATCTAGCTTTCCGACCGACATACGAAAAAATTAGACAGAAATACTGGTGGCCGTCAATGCCTCGTGATATTCGCAACTGGTGTCAACAATGCCAAGCATGTCAACGCAGGAAAACACCCCACCGCCGTCCGAAACTCCCGACGGGTCACGTACCTGTCCAGCGACCGTTTGAAAGGATATCGGTTGATCTTGTTGAATACAAAGCGCTCTCCAAATCAAACACAGGAGAATACTGTAAATACACGCTGTCAATGATGGACCATCTGACACGATTTGCAGTCCTTACACCGATCCCAAACAGATCAGCTGAAACCGTAGCGAACGTGTTAATCGAAAGGATTATCAGCATCTTTGGACCACCAGAAATGCTACATTCTGATCAAGGCACCGAATTCGAAAACAAAATCATCCACCAGCTACAAACGATCCTTGGATACCAGAAAACCCGTACAACGCCATACCGTCCTCAGGGTAATTCAGTGTCTGAACGAGTACATTCGACAATGCATGCAATGCTCTCGATGCACAATTCCATGGATCGTGATAACTGGGCGGAGCTCTTACCGATGGTTCAGTTAGCGTACAACACGTCGTTCAACAAAACCATGCATGAGACTCCGTACTTTTTGATGTTCGGTCGCCAAGCACGTTTGCCTGTAGATGTCATTCTGGGCATTCCGCACGTAGGAACTACACCAGATACCGAAACGTTCGCCAAGAACACTCGCGAAAATCTGCAGATTGCTTTTGAAATAGCAAGACAAAACTTGACTGAACGAGCCACAAAACAAGCTGCGCGAAACGAACAATTGCCGCAGTTTCCTGTGTTCAAACCAGGTCAAAAAGTGCTTCTATACAAGCCGTACCAAGACTCAGACGGACCGAATCCGAAGCTGCTTTTACCGTGGCGGGGGCCGTACACTATTTGTTCACAACTATCGCCAGTTGTGTATCGAGTAAAACGACCAAACGAGACACGCGAAGTATCCGTACATCTCGCACACTTGAAGCAGTACCACGCCAGAGACACTCCACCAGCGCCACAGTTTGACAAACTAGCTGAGTACTTCCTGGGGAAACAAATTCCCCTAGCGGCTGTGGATCAATCCACCGACGATCAACCGCGGATCGAAAGATACGTGGTCCAGAAAATCGTAAGCCACAAGAGTGGGCGTGGTCGTAAAGGTCCTCACAATTACACCTACAGATTACGCCTGAGGGGATATGGTCCTGAGTCAGACTTGATATATCGTGCAGATGAAATCCCACAATGCCGGGAAATGATTTCTGCATACAGATCAGCACACGGTTTAGATCCAGCACCCAAAATACCACAACCGCCTACACCAACCAAGAATTTGAAACGCAAACGAGACGATGTTCAACCGTCATCCATGCGAAGCAAACCTTCGGAAGGTACACGCGTTAACAAACAAAAGGTCAGACGTGCCGGTCAACAACCTCTAGTACCCACGCGAGCTACTAAGGAGAAGAGCCAACCGAGACGCACTAAACCATCCAAAGCTCAACGGAAGAGTAAAAGGACAAAGAAGGCAAACATGAGATACATATCACATGTACACAAACGGTAATAGGGGAACGTGTCCGAACACTCGGGATACTACCTCAGCATTTGTTTGGGGACAAATGCTGGCGAGGAAGAGTCAAGTGATCCAACTCTAGGTACACCATGCGTTCGAACTCCGCAGTACCAACGATGAGTCTTGACACAAACAGTTTATCTGCTGTTTACACACCGTATGCCTGAAATTTCCTGCAACAAGCTTGCGAACACCCCAGACAAGCCAACGCTTAACATTCAAAAGAGCCTAGAGCGAAAACAACTCTTGCACAACCAAGTGTTATCGCCAGCTCACAATTTGAATTCACCAAGTGGCTTCCAGGTATCGATCTGATACCTTCCGCTTGTGCTTTCGAGAGAGACACGAGGGCACATCACAGAGTCTATTTCGGCTCTGGTGTCGAACACATTGGTATGACCAATAAATTCCGGACATCTCTTGAGTATGTGAGTTCAAATGTTTGTTTTTTTACACCACCTGCCGTGTTTTTCAACACGAGGTGTAGCCATCTTCGGATGGTTGGGGAAGAAAAACAAACAGGAAAACTGTCGTTGCTGTAAAGTTAAGGAAACGATACCTACTCCACGACACAACCTTCTCATTCATCACCTGAATGAGCGCCAAAAACAATCGAAAGATAGATTTTCGGCGGAAAAAGAGGGGGGCTATGTGGAGGCCAGGATATTCGTATCTTCTTATACTTACACACGCACATACAAAGGGAGTGAAAAACATCCGACAGACGATAATTCATCGCTCTGCTCTGGATCTTTACTTTGTGGGTTATTCACCCCGACCTGAGTCGGGATGGATCTTTATGGTTGGTACCGAGAACCCAGGAAGGGTCTCAGCCGGCGCCCACTCGCAACCTTACCCTGGCCTTGGCTGAGTACGCTCAACCACCGCTTGACATTCCTCGTCACATTGCACCAGAGGAAATCAGCCAGCCTTCGGTGGTAGGCATATACCACCTCGCCATTTTGGGACCTCAGCTCACACTGAGTTGAGGGTATTCATACTAGGGTTTCTTGTCTAGGGTTGTTCAGGACGTACTAAATTGTGGTGCAATTGTTTTTTTACGCCACAGGGTTTTGTGCTGGTATTTGGTTTCAAACAACACGGTGTTCTTTCTTTTTGTTTTTTCTTTGTTTTTTTCTCGCCATCAAGAACGAGATTTTTTGCTGCGGATTTCAGTTGCTTTTTTTTTTTACCCTTTCTGCGGTGGTTCTCCGTTCTCCCCACCGTGAAGTGGTCCGTTGCAGACGATTGCAGCACAGCAGTCGTTCACTGATCTTTTTATGGTTCTGTCGAAGGTTGGTCGCAAATAGCATGCAACGTTGACGAATCTTCTATGGTTGTGACGATGGTGTCTTGGCTTAATACTGATGGGTGGTGATGAGGTCAGAGGTCGGGATGGAGAAGTATTGTGACATACTCTGGTTTGACAATGATGATGATGATTATGAACGTTGTGATGGGTGTTTGTGGGTGCAAGGGAGTGGTTCACGCTGCACGATTGTGCCTATGGTATTCATTCACCCTTCATTCTTGTTGCATATGTATTGAAAAAATATCCTCAAGGCTTCGGGGAACGAAGATCGATCAAGGAGGAACCCGTCTGTGTGATCATGGATTGGATCTCCAAAATGCTGTGATTGTGTTTTCGTCCTATTGGTTATGGCGACAGTCTACCCATTTTTCGTATTGAGACGTGTATCACACGCTGTTTCAGTGTATGTAGAAGTATATACTTTTTTAGTACATTTTTTCGCACAACTGCAACCATCCAGGGTCACACAGGAGGGGGCAAACATCGGGGCTTTTTCTCCAAAATGCTGTGTGATTGTGTTTTCGTCCTATTGGTTATGGCGACAGTCTCCCCATTTTTCGTATTGAGACGTGTATCACACGCTGTTTCAGTGTATATACTATACTATACTTTTTTAGTACATTTTTTCGCACAACTACAACCATCCAGGGTCACATAGGAGGGGGCAAAAATCGGGGCTTTTTTCTCCTTTTTTTTAGCGCTGACGAAAAAGTAATGAGCCGGAAAAATAAACGTCTTTGCTTCTTTCTTGTCTTCAGATCGATGCGCTGTCTTTGGAAAGCTTGAAGGCATCGGCGGACGAGTACCGCGAGCACTTCTCTCGGGCCCTAGGGCGCGCGATCCAGGGTACCATCAAGGTGCGTTGGTCGACTGCGGCGAAGCTTTTTCTTTTTTCCGGCAAGACTGGGCGAAGCTTGTTTCGTTGCTCAGAATGGCATTGCATCGCGAATGCTGCGCGTGGCATTCCGCCTTGTTCAGAGAACAACTCGTTCGATTTCGAAGATAAAAAAGAGAGAGCGATAGCGTCATGTTCCAGGTTTTGGTTTGCCTCTAAACCAGGTGGGTGTCGGGTGCCATCAGGCTTCTGTGTTTGTGTTGGCAGTTCGCTCTGTCACGAAGGGGAGGAAGATGGGGGGGGCTCGACCACGGGATGGAGGTGGGCTCGCCGATCATTTCTTGCTTCTGCTCTTTTTTGCTCTCGTTGCTTACCCCAATAGTCGAAGCCTCGACGCCACACACGGCCGAGAGAACACCCACAATAACAACAAACAACCACGACAACAACACCAACAACAATAGTCGTAGCACATTACCGGAACCGAGCAACAACAATCCTTCAAGGCTACTAACCTTACGAGAGCAAAAATGCGGGGCGTTGTTGAAAAAAAATATATATATATATATTTATATAAATATATGTATTTATATAGGCCCCGCCCGAGAAATTCGGCGAGACGCTGGAGGCCGAGCAGCTGAGGGCCGGTTCGTTCATCGAGGACTCTGACGTGGACGCGGACCAGTGGGAGAGGTTGATGGAGATAGAGGTCGGCAACGGGGACAACAAGCTGTTCGGGGGAGCACAGTACCACCGGGCTCTCCGCGAGTTCAACTTCGCGATCCGGCACATGAACGCTCCTGAGGTGTGTGTGCTCGCACGCGCATGTGTTTTTATTTTTGGCGTCGACCGCGCGCTAACCGGCTGACCAATGAACAAAGACGCCAGCCCCTGTGCGGCTGAAAATAGAAAATACTTCGGAAGGCGGGGGGCTCTGTGTGTGGTTGTTGTTGTTGTTGTTGTTGTTGTTGTTGTTGTTGTTGTTGTTGTTGTTGTTGTTGTTGTTGTTGTTGTTGTGTGTTGTTGTCGTTGTGTGTGTGTGTGCGTGTGTCTGAAATGTCTTCGTCCCCACCGTTTCTGGGGCCAGGCTATACCTTTCGGTATGCGTTTGACGTATGTTTTGTATCGGCCGAGGTCATCAAAGACAAAGTTGTGGGCGAGGTTTGAGATCGAGGTTTTGGAACTTGCTCTCGTTGTGCGGGAGGAAGCGGTAAGACCCCGGCAGGGGACAAACAGCGGGTGTGATGTCTTCCGACACCCCCGTCCGCAGCAGATGGTGCGTTGGAATGGTTTGGTTTGTTTTGTCCGCCATGTGGATAGCGATAACTCTTGGTTGTAGTCGAAGCCATTTGTGGATCCCCTCTGTCCTTAGGAGTCGCAGGGCTCGTTAAGGGCCTACTCCCGCCAGGTAGGCGCAAGTCTTCCGTCGTGTGGTGTAGGTGAGCAAGCACCGAGAAGGTGGAGCGATGCTCGACAGGCGAGGGTAAGGTAAGAGGGAACTCGCGGAGGAGGAACCATCGGTGGCCGGCTCCATCTCAAGCGCAGGACCCCCACAGTCGTTCGCAGCAGACACTGGCACGAACCCATCTTGTAGACTCTCCCTAACATCTGTCGAGGACGGTTCGACCTCTCGCTTGGTCCTTTGCACATTGGCGGCGACGAAGGAAGGATGTCTGATTTCTGCGGAAGAGAGCCCGGGGTTCAAATTTCTGTGCGTGTCGAAATCTTGACGTTTCCGCTTGGACCCGCGTGTGCTGCTTTCGTCTTTTTCTTCTAGGTTTCGGAGGATGAGATCGCCAACGCCGCTGGCATCAGCGACATGCACGACGGGGTGAACTTCATGAGGGCCGCCTGCGTCATTGCGGTGGACAAGGTAAGGAAGCACTGCCTCGATGGCATAACATCATCATCGTCAACAGAACCTCAACAAAATGGCTTCCTCGTCAACAAACGTCTTGAAACAAACATCGTCGTCAGCACACATCGACGATAATAGCATCATTAACAACGAACAACAACAGCTGTAACAACAACGGCAGCAACAAACGACCCCTACAGCAAACCAGCAATAACACCCATAAGAAAAAACACAACAACGAGATAATCATCATCATCCTCAACAACAACAACAACAACAACAACATCAACATCAACAATAACGACAACATAATACAAAGGATTTCAGCAGTGGGGGCCCCCGAACATGCCGGTGATGGGGCAGCTGATAATGACCGCCTTATATGGGCCGGCAGCCTTATTCAATGTGTAAAACAACTCGAACTTTTCGTCTATACCAACCAACATCACTCCGTCTTGTATGTATAGGGCGACCACCTGATTCAGACCGCCGTATCCGGTGGCCCCCGCTGTTATGACGAAACCAGGCGAGGGCGTCGTTCGAGCCAACCCTGGACGCCCTTCGCGTGCGGACGGTGCACGTGATGAAACGGCTTTTCGGGGTGGTGGAGCACATGCTCAAGTCCGACGGCATGCAGATGAGCGACACGCACCAGAAGCCCTTCAGTGAGTTTACCCATGTGTGTGTACCTCTACACTTGTTGTTCCTTCAAGGTTGTACGTGAGTGAGTTGGCCCACGTGCATGTACCTCGACGCTCTTCCTTTTAGGTTGTACGTGCTGGGTTGCCAGACGTACATTGAGGTGTGCACAGGGGACCCACCCCCCTACTCTTCGAAAGTGCCCCTCCACTTTTTATTGTCTTGTTTTTTTGTTTGTGCCCACCTCTTCGTAGACCATGCTTGATTGCATCCCCATGTTGCATTGTTGATGATACTACTGTGCTGCCTTGGTTAATGTGGGCATTGCCGTGTTTTTAGCGTTGGTAAACCTCTCTGACCTCTGCATGAATACAGTTTACATCTTGCCCGTCTGGTCTTACAAGTTCCTCAGCCACAAGCTTAACGCTACGTTTTTTTCCGTTCAATCGTGTACCAGTGTTGTTTGTTTCCCTATTCGCCGGTGGTGCCTGGACTGCACTGCGCCCACGTTTTCATTACTGTTACCTGGTATGCTCCCCCCATCTCTTTCGCTCATGTAATTACTTGCACTGCTTTGTCCCCACTCCCTTCTCCTGCTCCTCCCAGGCTTCATCGTGAAGCGCGTTTACGAGAAGTTCGTGGAGAAGGCGGTGGACGAGACCCTCGCCCGCTGCCGCGACGACTTGACGGCCCTCACCCGCTTCGTCACCTGGGACCTACACGAGCGATCCGCGGGCGCCCTCCGACGGTCTCTCCCCGACAGCTCCATGGTCCACATATACTCTCTGGCGGTGAGGAAGGATCCCCCCCTCCCCTCTTTGGTACAGTGCCATGCACGGCTATGAGTACACCCCCCCCGCCCCCCCTGTTCTTTGATGCTTGTATATACCAGGTGCTTGAAAAACTTCGTGTGTTTCTTTCTGATTTCCTGCACTCGAAAGTGATCACCATCCCGTTGGCTCTTTCTCCACACTCTGCGCTTTGCTTCAGTTACCTTTCGCAAACGCACACTCCTGCCCCCTCCTCCCCTTCCCCCCAGATATTCGTCTCACGTTGCCCCTCGATCAGCAGACCAACCGAACTCCTTTTTCTTTTTTTTCGTTGATGGAAGGTGGACAACCGCAACCGGGGGCGGCGGAGAGGGGGTGGCAGGGGGAATTCGGAGGAGGGACCCCCCCCGTCCCCCCAGGACGGGGCCGTCTTCGACCAATGGGAGGCGGCCAATACTGGGGGCCTCGGGGGAGCGGGGAGTGTCATGCGCCAGAAGGTTGACATTCTTTTTCCGTTTTTTTTTTTTTTGTGGTTCTCTTATCCTGATAATGATGGTTAAGTCGTGTTCGAACTCTCGCCCGCTTATTAGGTTTCTGTTTGCTGTGTTTGTATGCCTACTTTCTTAGGTGTCCTTTCATCTCTCTGTTTGCTGTGTGGAGTCAGTCCCTTGTCATCTCCTCCGTTCGTTCTGATTCTTGTCTCTCCGTTTCTCTTTGCCGTTGTGTGTTTTTTCTGTGTGGAATCAATCTTTTTCTCGTCTCGTTTTCTTTGGTTCTTTGCGGCAGGACTACTTCAACCTCCAGCAGCTGATGGAGGAGGCGAGCAGCTCGAGGGACGCGGAACGAACCTCCGCAGTTGTCTCGGCGCTGGTGCAGCACATCATGCTCAGCTGGAGGGAGCACTTCGCGAGAGCCGTGGCGATGAAGTTCAACTGCTTCTTCCTCATGCCCTTCGTCGACGACTTCCCCTCTTACCTACGCCGGGTGCGGCCTCGTTGTTTTTCTCGGCGTTAGGGACAGCTCTTCTCTGTCTGTCTGTCTGTCTGTCTGTCTGCCTGTCTGCGAGTGTCTGCATGTCTGCATTTTTGAGTGCCCCCATCCCTCACGCTCTCTCGTTTCTTATCCTTGTTGTTCGCTTCCTCTCCCCTCTCCGACTACCTCTGCCCATCTCATGCCCCCATGACCCGAATATACCGGTTGTTCGTATTTGCTGGAACTGTTTTGTGGAGCAGGAACTGGAGAAGATCTACGAGGGAGATGTTGGAGATATCTTTGACATCGCGGAGGCGAGGGGGGCTCTCGTTCGAAGGAGGGAGTCGCTTGTGGCAGAGTGCAAGGCTTGCCACGAGGTTAGATTGTTGCTGCCATCGCCGCCGCTGTTGTTGATGTAGTTGTTGTTGGTGATGATGATGTTTTGGTTCTTGTTGTTGTTGTTGTTGTTGTTGTTGTTGTTGTTGTTGTTGTTGTTGTTGTTGTTGTTGTTATGGCTGCTGTTGCTGCTGCAACTGTTGTTGTTGTTGTTGTCGTCGTTGTTGCTTGCACTCTTCTCCTGTTCACACAACGCAAAAATCTGACTTTGGAACTCAGCGGCCTCGGTATCCCGCCACGCACGCGTGCGCGGAGCCGCTCTACAATGTTAGAACGATATCCTTTATCGTGGGCTACTACGTCGTCAACGATCTGTTCTCCGTTTAGGCTTCACGAATTCCCTGTGGTTGTTTGTTATATTGCAAGACCCTCGTGTAATCCGTTATGCAAAGCCGTTCGACGGTGAATTCGCTGTGGTTGGTAGTATGTAAGACCCCCGTGCATTTCCTTATGCAAAGTATTTTGTGCGCAACGCACTACTTGTCGCCCTGTGCGCCTACCCAGATCCAGGGCAAGTTCGACTCGATCAACTCACAGCTGAACAACGCTAAGGAGATCTACAAGAACGGGGATCAGGACCTAGAGGCTACCGCGGCGGAGGCGGCAGCGGAGGCTGAGGTGAGACGAGCGAAACTCATCGCGTTCTCCGTTGTTTGGAGTTTGACGCCGACTCTCAGCAACGAGCGGACTTTGCACAAGAGCTACAATGTAGTTGGTTTTTTTCAACGTTGTTTTGGGAACGTTGAAGCTTGATCAATTCTTTGGTATATAGAGCAGGTGGATTTCTTGTGTTTGTTTGTTTGGGATTCGTCTTGGAACGTACCTATGCATGTGGGAGTTTCGTAATTCCGACGGGTGTAGAGTTCTTTTTGTCGGTCTTTTTTTGGGTCAAGCTTTGCTTTGTTCATGCAGCAGAGGAGGTCGATGTTTTCAATAGAGTATTAGTAAATCTTGCGCATTCGTTGTGGGCAACAGCTCTTGCCGTAGTTGTTATGGGCTGCTATTGTCAGACCTGAAACATCACCAGCGTTGCTGCAAAGCGCCTTCTGCCTTCCAACTCGAATAAAAATAGATTAGAGCGAAGGAAAGAGTGCCACCTCAAGCGATCTTTGTGGTGTAGCTTCAAGCTCGGATTACTCTTGCGCTCGCTCCCGGGGTCTGTGTTCATGTATGCCACCTGAAGGGTCTTTGCTCGGATTCCGCTTGCCCTCTCACTCTCTCTCCGTTTATTCTGCCTTAGCCTTCACCCCGCATGCATCCATTTCCCCCCTCTCTCTCGAATTTGTTTGGCTGAACGAACTACCCACGAAAGGCCGACGCGATCGCTGAGCGAGAGATGGAGGCGGCGGCGGCTGCTGCAGCGGGGGCGGAGGCGGCGGCGGCGGTGCAGGCGGCGGAGGCGGCCTCGACCCGTGACTCTGGGACAGCAATGATGCGAGACTACGAAGGGATCGACAGCCTTGAGGACGACGAGACGATGGTGTTCGGCGGCAGTGGCGGCGGCGGCGGCGGCGGCGGCGGCGGCGGCGGCGGCGGTTTCAGTAGCGAGGGCAACAGTGGCCGAATTTTTTTCTCTGCTGGTGGCGGTGGGTTTAGTTCCACCGCCGGGACTGTGGCGGGCCGGCCGCCGGCACCGGGGTACGGCAGAAATTTCTTCGCGCCTTCCGAAGAGGTTCGTTCGGCGTCGGCGGACTGGGGGACGGGGTTGGGTCCCCTTGCGATGCTTTTGTTACTTTTTTTTGTTTAGTCTTTGAAACGTGCGGCGGTTTGCAGTATTTGTACCGTATTCGAAGTAAGGCTGTCTACCTCCCCACCCCCCCCACTCGCTGCACGTTGATTGGGCTGTTTCCACAAGACAAGTCTCTGGTAGTGCGATACGAAAGGAGTTTCTCTGAGACGTGGGTTGTGCTCTGTCTTTCGTCTCCCACACCTTCTCTGTACGAAAGATGCACTCCTCCTACCAGTTGAACCGCGTTCAATCAACGGTTGTTGTTGTCGGCTTAGTATCCATACTCGTCCAACGTGTTGCGAAATGGGGAAGCACACCCAACCGACTAAATCACACATGTTTCCCCGGTCTCCACTCACCCGCTCACTCACAAAAGGATTCCTCCGAAGAGGACGGAGACGAAGACGACGTGCTGTTCGTCAACCCGGTGGCCTACATGGGTCCCATCGGAGAACAGCCTCCTCCGGTTGACGCCTTCGACCGCCGTCGCCGCCGGGGGGGGTGGACCCCCCAGCAGCGCTTGGGAGCGGTGGCGGACGGGGAAGGCGGCGAGCGAGCAGCAGAAGAAGTCGATAGCAAAGGTGGAGGTTATCGGGGTTCTTTCGACTCCGCTTCTTCGGCGGCGGCGGCGGCGGCTCGGCTGAGCAAGGGATGGACGGGGGCGGGGGCGGGGGCGGGGCCAGTGGGTCGGGGTGGAGGTGAAGACGAGGTTGGGGGGGACGTCGGCGCGATGCGGGGAGGGTCGTCGTCGTCGATGTCATCGGTGACGGTCCCCGAGGAGGAGTCGGTGCGGTACCGGCGGCGACGAAACGGTACTAGTCCCGCCGCAACCGGGGGTGCGACGGGGGCGTGACGATGATACTGCTGTGTGCTGCGTTTGGAGAGAGAAAGCGGAAGATCTGTAGTGTCTGCGTGCGAGAGCCTGGAGCTTGTAGGCGACCCGTGAGGTGGAAGCCGGTTTCGACTGTGACCGATGTATCTCGGTTGGCGTGTTTCCGTCGAGGCTGTCGACCCAACTGGACGGGTTTGCGGAGGGAGGGAAGTTAAGCGTTTCTGCTGCTGACGTTGGGCTTCGGGGAGGAGATGCGCTTCGGGACTCACGTTTTCGGGTCACATAGGCATCGTCTCGTTTTTATCTCGCCACGATCGCCGCGACTGAACCACGGGCGTTCGTTCAGTCGGCCGGCGGGCCGAGAGGCGCCATAGAAGGTGCACCTTCTTGGAGCATGTAGAAGGGACATCGCAGGCAGTCGCGTGGGCAGGTCCCACTGAGTACTGCCGCGGCTTGCCGAGTACGTCGATGGTATGTTGCTGATCGGGCGGGTATCACAAGGAGTCGGGCACGGAGGTAGGGGCCCCTTGCCACTTGCATTGGGGGGTAATTGTTGTGCCACCGGCGTTTCCCGGCGGGGCGCAATGTGTCTGCGGCCTAGCCAGCTACCTCCTCGAGCAAAGTGTGGCTGAAAGCATTGGGTACTGTCGGCGTCGGGAGGGAGTGTGGGGAGGGGTGGAGAGACGTCCTGTATACAGCTGTTGGTTTGGTCACTCGTCCTTTATTGCATGCAAAACTTAGAGACAAGGCTACATGCCACGCGTTTGCTCCTCCTGTGCACGCCAATGACATGTGCTTCGCCGGATCCTTTATGGTTGGGTGTCTACGTAGTAGTCGTTTTTGTTTCTCCGGGACGTGTCTTGTTGACGGTCATGGTGTTGGCATCGTATCGTGACTGTGTTGTTGTATCATACCTGGTGTGATCTTTTACTTGGAGCAAGCTGTTCACTGTTCGCCGACGCGTGCTGCCGAAGGTCAAGTATGGCAGATCTCTGGGGACAGGGGAGGGGAGCCGGGGGCGGGGAGGCAAGGTTGGGTGTATGGCGTGCTCTCGTCTGTGACTGATTGTGATGGCTAGCTGTTGCGATGGCTGCAGCTGCACAGCGGTAGCAGGGAGGTTGTTGGCTTTCTTGAACCGGTTGTTTTCGCCCTACCTTCTTTCTTTGTGTCCGTTTTGTTTCTGTGTATACCGAAAAGATTACGTTACATTTTTTATTGTTTGTCGGAAGCTCTCAGGGTGTAAGTGTCTCGTTCCGTAAAGACACACATTCCAGTCTATTTTTATTTCCGTTTTGCTTCACAACATATCCTTCTTCCTCCCTCGCCTCTTTTTATTTTGCACTAGGGCCTACATCCAAGAGCCTCGTGTGGTTGTGCTGCTGTAGTACCTTCTACTGCGACATTGTTTTTGTATTGTCTGTCGAATAGTTGTTCTACGTGGTCAATCAGGCGTTCACTCATGGAGGCATTCTCTCCTCCTCCCGGAGGCACTTTTACTCGTGTTCTCGCTCTCCGAGTTATGATTTACGTCGGGGAGATTGGGAAACAGCAGCCAGGGGGAAACTGAGCCCCCTCGTGATGGCAATTAAAACGTGCGTTTTCCGCGTTGAAACTGCTGTCTCGATCGATGAAGCGGCTTACGGAGGCATTTTTCTTCCCCCTCCCCCGATCCTCGTTTTCTCGCTCTCCGCGCTACGTTAAGGTTCTGTGCCATCCCGGGTGGGGAATTTGGAAACCAGCCAAGAAATACTGGTTCCTTGTATGTTTGTCAGTGATTACATCGTGCGTTGTACTGTCAGTCTTGCGTTGAAATTCTGTCTCGATTGATGCAGCGGCAGCAGGGGCGTTAAACTGAACAACTTGAGACGTGCGATCTTTTGCGTAGAAAGTGCCTCGATTGATGCATTGGCAGCAGGAGCGGAAAGCTGATAAAAAAAAGTTAATACGACGTGGTCCCACGCATTTTTCAGCTGCCCGCCCGCCCGCCCTTTCACGACTAATTTTTCCAAGTGCCGCCGCGGGGATGTGTGGCGAGTGAAAAATGGCAACTACTTGCTGTACGGGTGCAATGACAACGCGGGGAGTTGTCTCCCTCTTGGTAGTTGCGTATTGCGTAAAATGCATGCGCTGTACGCTTCAGCCGCGATCAACCGAACCGAGTTGGGCAACTGCAGTAGAGCAGCGATATGTTTCCCTTTCTTTTTAGTCGGCGCGATCGCCCATGTACTTCCACACACCATGGCATGTTTAACCCCTCCTTTGGAGTCTACGCGACAATATTTTCTGCTAGACCAGAGCACCAGGGGGTTATTCCTGAATTCAAGGCGTTCTTACACCATGCAGGCGTTCTGTCACCACACACCACTACCTGCCACCGACGCTTTCCCTCAATATACCGACAAGCACGGGTTTTGGTTGGCGGACAACCGCCGCGGACTCAACACCGGGGTGCTGTCACCCCCGTCACTCGCCGATCGTGGTCGTTCCGAAACGCTTTGTTTAAACCGCCGCCCCCAACAAGTTCTCATAGTGAAAACAACAAATCTACGACTTGGGGGGAGGGGGGGGGGCGTACTCTTATGTTTTGCATGCCTTAGCGGTGAGACCATTGATCACGCGTCCTCGAGAGGACGGAGCATTGTTCCCACAGAACCGATCACCGATAGCCAATCGTTCCTTTCTACTTTGTTTGCCAAAGGTGGCTCAAAAATGTCTTCCCTGGTCTGTCTATCCTAACGATATCCCTTCCCGCCCTTTCAACCCGCCTCCTATGCCCCAGTATAGCTTCCGTCCTTTCCTCTCTATTTCACGCTCCAAACATCTCCCTGTACGTCCCATCTATTTTTCCCAGCTCAGTCACGTACAATTCCCTCTTCTTCTTGTACAACGGACATTCCGCGACTACATGAACACGGTCTTCGCATTCGAAGCCACAATCACATATATTTGAACTCGTCGTCTTCGTCGTCTACCGTCCTATCTATTATGTNTACAGCTACCGTCCTTTCCTCTCTATTCCATGCCTCAAACATCTCCCTGTACGTTCCATCTATTTTTCCCAGCTCAGTCACGTACACTTCCCTCTCCTTCTTGTACAACGGACATTCCGCGACTACATGAACACGGTCTTCGCATTCGAAGCCACAATCACATATATTTGAACTCGTCGTCTTCGTCGTCTACCGTCCTATCTATGTCTTCGTCGACGTTCTCGAAGGCCTATGTCCCCGGTCCTGAATTTGACCTTAAGCTTTGTTCCTGCATCCATTGGTCCATGTAGGTAGTCCTTGAACCCTATTCCTTCCTTCAACATTCCGTACACTTCTAGACCCTCTTTATCCTTGGATTCTTCCTTAAGATTCTGTTCTTCTCTCTCGGCACAAGCAACAGATATCTTCTCCTTGAACCCCTGTAGACCCTCCGTTTCCAGCGTTTCATCTTCGTCGATGTCGAGCCCCTTCCATACGTCCTCTACAACCTTGACCCATTCCGTGGGTTGTCTACCCCTCTTTTTGTTTGCCCACTTCGCCTCCCATACAATTCTCGGCAACCTCTCCTCTCCCATCCCGCACATGCGATACTGCCAGGTCAGCTTCCTCGCGTCTCTTCCCGACCGTAGGGATTGGATCCCCAATTCTGCCCTGACGGCTGCATTACTTGTGCGCCTGGAGCATCCTAGGATGGTTTTCGCTGCTTTCATCTGCGCCGCCTCGAGTTCTTTCACTACCTTCTTTTTTTCTTCCCATACTTGTGGGGCGTACTCTAGCGGCGGTACGATGACGCTCTTCAAAACCATCATTTTGATGCGTGTATCGAGGTGCCGGTTTGCGAGTAGATCTATTGGGTGCAGCTTCCCTGTTCGTGCTTTGCCCTTTTCCGCTACCTTGGACATGTGTGCATTCCACGAGCAGTCTTTTGCGATCTCTACTCCGAGGTATGTGTACTGGTCCACTAATGCAATCTCCTCGATCCCCCACTTCCATCTAATAGATATACTGGGGGTACTCGTAGCATAGCATGACGGTTGAGATGTCTTCTGAACGT